GGAAAGAGAAGTCAGAGAAGAAAGAGGAGAACCAAAATAATGTAGACTAATAAGGGCAAAGGGAGGAAGGAATTTCAAGAAGGAAGTTAAGTTAAAGAGAATGAAGACTGAGAAGATGCTGAGGCATCTGACCACTAGGAAGTAATTAATGATCTTCTTGCGACCAAGTCACTATTAAATAGTGGGCAAATAATGAAAATTATTTTCCGTAGTTCAGTTCAATAAATATTTATTAGCTATCAGACATGTTTTTCCCTTATCTTTCTCAAATTGAGTAAGGGTCGATAAAGGTCGGATCTACTAAATGCAGTTTCTTCGAATGATAAGGGAGTTGAAATCTAGGGCAAGGTTGATTTATCAGAACGAGCTAAAGAGGAGCTATCATTTACCCTGACCTGAAATTTTGCTCTATACTATAATGTTGGCAAGTGAGAATAATTTTATTCATTTATTGTATTATATAGTAACAATACCTTTTCTTTATTAAACACGTACTCTGTACCAGTGCTTTACATATGATAACTCACTTAATTCACCCACAACTCTAAGGTAACTTCCCCCCATTTTACTTAAAAAAGCAACTGAGACACAGAAAGATTAAATAACTTGCCCAGCTTCATTCAGCCAGTAACTGTGGGAGTCAGAATTCAAACCCTAGTTTATCCAACTCAAAAATATACATCAGAATAAACCCCAGAGCTGGTTAACAATGCAGATGCCCACCCACCTCCAGTGACTGCCATTGACTAAGTCATGGGGTGCAGATCACGGTACAGGTTAAGCCCCACCTCAGGTTCTAGACTACCTCAGTGTAGTTTAAAATAGCCCTGTAATAGCTGTAAAGAAAGTAAGTCAAACTTTTAATATCTGACTCTTTGGGTGGAACACAGGGTGTGTTCAGAAGATGTTATTTTTTAAATATTCACTGGTTTTACCTCTAAGTTTTAGCTATTTGCAACTCAGCTGCATTAAGTGTGACCTTTTCACTTCTCCAAATGTCACTAAACTCTGTTGTCCTTATGCTCTGAGGCTCTGTTCTGAATGCAACCAGCCCTAGAGGATACGAAAACAGCTGAAGTGGAATGTTTGGACAGTGGGGAAGGAAAGCTCTCTGGAGATGCTTCTTACCTCTTTTCTCTATGATGATTTGATTTAATCACTGTAATTTTATTACAGACGCTGAAAAGACTATCCACCAAGTATAAGGCAGATAAAACCTATCCCACAACTGAGGCTGAGAGGCCCAAGAATATCAAGAAAAACAGATACAAGGATATCTTGCCCTGTAAGTTTCATTTCTCCCTTTAAACTTGTACCTTCTCTCAAATTCAATCATCTTATCTCTTTTTACCCATTGGCTGCTGTTCCTAATCCTAGACCGTGGCTTTGACAAATTAGTTGTACTGTATATGACTACAAAAGAACATTCGTTCATTCATTCAGTCTTCAAACACTAATGAGCATCCACTATTCACAGTGCTACTTACTGACTTACAGAAAGCCCTCTAACCAGACCCTCTTAATTAGTCTGTCTTTCTTTTATATTATAGATGACCACAGTCGAGTAGAGCTGTCCATGATAACCTCTGATGAGGATTCCAGCTACATCAATGCCAACTTCATTAAGGTACATCCAATATTCCATATTTCTCTAGGTACCTAAAAAAATGGGGTAGAGGGGGGAGGGAGGGATACTGGACAAGAAGGAGAGTATATTATTTGTAGTGACCCCATGTAATTTCTGTTCCCCTTTAGGGAGTTTTGGGACCCAAGGCTTATATTGCCACCCAGGGACCTTTGCCTACAACTGTCCTGGACTTCTGGCGGATGATTTGGGAATACAGAGCCCTGGTTAGTGCAGAGTTACTTTTGTTACTATTATTCTCTAGTTTTTAGGGATGAAGGGGGTAGGGTGTCAGGATATGTGACTGAAGTTTCCTATGTACATTAAAATCAGTGCTTTTTGGGGTCAGTCACTAGAATTTTGGTGTTCAGTCACCTTTTAGTCAAAATCACAATGTCACTATTGTTCAAGAAAATAAAAGTTCTCAACTTGACAGTCTCATTTGTTAACAAGAATTGACTGATTTGAATAGAGAAAAGGGAAGTGAGGACAGAGAGAAGGAAGGGTAGGAGCAACATTTTATAATCTATTAGGATTTCTTTTTTGGTTATAAAACAATAAAAGAATAAATAACACTTTTTGACTCTGGGACCCATGTATTAGCTGCTTTTTTAAACTATATCAGTGTTTAAGTTTCCATGTATTTCATCCCCCCAGATCATTGTTATGGCATGCATGGAGTTTGAAATGGGGAAGGTGAGTTACTTTCTAGTAAACCTAAAGGTAAAGGAAAGAAGAAAAAGAAGGGGGAGACTTGGTAGCAGAACTTTCCTTAACTTAAGTGACTTGGTAATCATTTATGCTTATCTTCCTAGTTTTCAGTTTGGGATTGCCAAATGACTCTCAAGGTTTTTTTAAAAAACTTTTTTTAAACCTCTGAGAACCTCTTTTGCCCATTTTCCCAGTAGACTCTGTGTTTTAAAATAAAAATAAGGTATACTTTTTAAAGTAACAATTCATTTTCCTGTTGTTTTTAATCAGATATTTTAAACTGCCAGTCAGAGCTTCTTTTGTGCTGCCCAGAATGGCCTTTACTAGCCACGTGTGGCTAGTGAACACTTGAAATATGGCTGGTGTGACTGAGGAACTCTATTTTATTTTAATGAATTTAAATTTAAAGACTGATATTCAATTCAGTTATTGGAAAACCTTGTTTGGAACAACTTGGGTATGTGAATCTTTTTCAACCATAAATTTTATGAAATCTAAATGGAAATTAAATATTTCCAGTTAAAGTTTAGCATATTGATTGAAATGTGTTGTGAATATAAAATACATACTAGATATTGATGACAGTTTAAAAATGTCAAATATCTATATTGATATTTGAGTTTTATATTGAGTACATGTTGAAAAAATTTTTGATGTATTTGGCTAAGTAAAATATATTATTAAAATTAATTAAAATTAATTCCACCTTTTTACATTTTTGAATGTGGCTCTTAGAAAAATTTTAATAACATATGTAGGTCATATTATATTTCTATTGAACAATGCTCTTCAAACCTACTGTTGCCATTCTGAGTTGATACAATTCCAGTTAAAACCAAGGGAACTTGGGGTTTCAGTTAGCTTGTGAGGCTTTGTTTTAATCCTTTTGAAACACTGAAAATGTCAGATCCCTATTTCTACTTTGTCCGACTTCCAGGAAGTCTGCAATTTGTATATCCTTTAGTGTTTGTTTTCCCATCTTTGGAGAATCCAGACATGGGTTGAAGCCCAAGGGGGTTAGAAATTCCTAACCTAAGCGGAAGGATACAGCTGAATTTGCTTCTGAATGAGGGAGGGGGTTTTCTTACCCAGAAAAGATTAGCATATATGGAGGGAAATCACTACATTCTGCTTTGTGCAACAGAAAAAATGTGAGCGCTACTGGGCTGAGCCAGGAGAAATGCAGCTGCAACTTGGCCCTTTCTCCATATCCTGTGTAAGTATGATGTCTATTTCCATTATGGCTGAGCAAATGCTCCAGGACCTACTTTATAGAGAGTAGTCTTTGAATATTAGTCTTTGAAATAACTAATATTTTAATTTACTTCTTAGGAAGCTCAAAATAAAAAATCTGATTATACAATCAGGACTCTACAAGTCAAGTTCAATTGTGTAAGTATAGAACACCAGAAGTAACCTCAAAGCCTACAGAGATCAGGCAAGTAAATCTATATGTATGTGATGCGGTCTGGGCATAAGATAATAGGAAGTGGTAGGGCCTTTGATGTTCTGGATAAATCATCATAACCAAAAGAGACCTTTGGTGTAATCTGTGTTCCCCAACCTACTCCACACCAATGGCACAATATGAAATGACAATATTTCTAGGATGAATAGAGGCTGTGTACAGTGTGTAGAGGCTGGGAACCAACTCGAGAGCTCAAGCTGCTTGGTTTCTCTAAGGCGAAGGGATTAGTACATCAGCGCACCTGTGACCCATTTGAGGCACACCAGTTGGGGAGTTCTGATGTGGACCATTTTCATATCTGCATTCTCTTGTGAGTGGGGCAGATAGAGACAGGCCAATAGTAAGTGACCTGAAATTACTTGTAATTGTTCTTAGAGGCCATATGGTCCCAGAGGCCTATAGGGAAGAAATCTCCATAAACTGCAAAAAATATATAGATAGATGGTACTTTGTAGGTCAGAGTAATCTTGTGATAGAATGAGGTGAAGCCCTAATCTTGAACTCTCCTTTTATTCTGGCTATTTTTATAGGAAACTCGAACCATCTACCAGTTCCATTATAAGAACTGGCCAGACCACGATGTGCCTTCATCTATAGACCCTATTCTTGAGCTCATCTGGGATGTACGTTGTTACCAAGAGGATAACAGTGTTCCCATATGCATTCACTGCAGGTATGATGCTGTTGGATGAACCTTCTACCCAGAATAAACCAAATGTCACCGTCTGGCCAAGACTCCTGCTTTAACTGAAGGAAGACTGACTTTGTTGGAATTTAAAGTCTGCATAAGATGTAGGCTCCTACTTCTAGGCTCACTTCTTCCAGTCAGTCAGAAAGGAATGAAGCTTAAAATTAGAATGATTGAAAGAGAAAAGTCAATAGCAGAAACTATAATAAATTCAACCTGAGCATTAAATTAATATCTTTTCTGATAAATTACTTGTGGACAGCACAGCTCTAGAGACTTTTTGCTGTGAGAAGTTGCCTAGGATCTGTCCTGAGGCTCGGTGTAGCATGTGGCAATTGAAGTATGTTCTGAGAAATGGTGGGGTTTAGAAAGTTTCATGGGCTCTAGATTTCTTCTTCCTCAAATCTGCCAGTGAAATTTTCCAGCTACTGTCAAAGATCCACTCTCTGCAAATATACATGCTACTGTGATCTTTCATTTCAGTGCTGGTTGTGGAAGGACTGGTGTTATCTGTGCTATTGATTATATGTGGATGTTACTAAAAGACGGGGTGAGTTTCTCGCAACAGGCACTTGCCATTTTCTTAACCTTGCTACTTTTAGACTTAGAAATTGTTTGGTTCTGCAAAACATCTATCTCCACCATTCATCTTTTCTAGAATATTCACTTGTAGATTTGCTTTGTCAGATGATTAATTTAGTTCCTAAGTTGGTGGTCTCAAAATGTGGTCCCCAGACAAGAAGCTTCAGTATCACCCGAGAACTTGTTAGAAATGCAAAATTTGGGGCCCCACCTCGGATGAACTGAGCAAAAACTCTTGTGGGGGGCGGGAAGGGACAGCCCAGCAAGCTCTTCAGGTGCTCTGGAGAGAAGCAGTTTTGAGAACCACAGCTCTGAATCACAGTTACCCTTCCTTTAGACACGCTCCTTTAGCAGATTAACTCAATTTACTGCAAATTTTGTGTTCCAATCCGTAAATTTTTTTTTAAGTCTAACAAGAAATGAGAAGTTTAAAATATGGGCTTTAGACCTATTTGCAAACTTCTTTTAGTTCATTAAACTCTCATACTTACCTACTGAGATTTCTCCCTCATATTTTTAACTTCAGACATTTGATCACCCCATTTGAAATAATTTCGAAGAGTTTCTTCCGTATTTTGTAGGCTCTAAATCATGGTGCAAGTGATGAGAAACCCCATTAGTTTAAAAACTGCATTCCTTTTTCTAGATAGCAATAAAGGAGTAAGATATTTTTTCCTTTTATTTGGTAGATAATTCCTGAGAACTTCAGTGTTTTTAGTCTGATCCAGGAAATGCGAACACAGAGGCCTTCATTAGTTCAAACTCAGGTATGGACTGTCGTCTCTCTGTTTAATAATAATAAGGCATCCAAAAACAGCTGACTACTTTACTATCAAGGGTTTTAGTCCATTTCCATTTCCTCTAACTCTGAATATCCCAATATTTTTCCTGTATCCCTTGCTCTGGGCCAAATTCCTTTCATTCCTTATATTTTATAGCCCGTTCAGAAAATATTAAGAAAACAATATAATATTTCTTACAAAGGATGTTGAAAAAATTCAACAAGCTGTTTGACTTATTAGAAAGAAATAGCTGGGTCAGGTTAACTTGAAATTTTGTAGTGGCACTTCATTTCTGAAACCATAGAAAATCAGAGATCTGTAATTTCTTCTTCAGGAGGTAGTAACAGAATCTGCAGAATGAAGTCTATATGCTCATTTTAGAAAATGATAAAAAATTTAAAAAAATCATCCATAATCCTGTCGCCTAGAGGGAGCCACTGTTACTATTTTTCTATAGTTTCTCCTGGTCTTTATTCTTTGCATATTAAAAAATATTACCAAAAACCCCATAATTACAATCATACTATATATGTGATTATATATGTATCACAGTATTTTAACCTACCCCAGGTTTCCATTTCCATTGGAAATGCTTTTCCCCTGTTCTCTCTTCTCCAGCTCACGTTCTACCTCCTAGGTAAAACATTCCCAGCCCAAATCTCTCACTTTCTACAGTATTAATTCCACCCATATTTCTACACCAATAATTTTACTTATATTTCTAAATGGTCTCCATCTTTAAGATAGAGTTTAACATTCACCCATTCATTCTTTCATCAAACATTTATAGGTATTTATTAGGTCAGAGGCATTTTTGCATAATTTGTTAGAACTACTTTGTATTGCTTAAACAGCAAGAAATTAAAGTGCTTAAAGCACTTACAAATGAACTTGCACATAAGTTTAGAAGTAAAACAATTGACAATGGCAGTTCAGATATTTTCATCTAGAAGTTGTAAATCGAGGGGAAAAAATTATGAGCTATTATAATATAAAGCTTCTGTTTGGCCCACACAGGTTTTCCACTAATCGTTAGTGGAAAAAAAGAATTCTTTTTCATCTGTTGCCTGTAGGTGTTTTCTATATTCAACGTGTAGGGGGGAAAGTTTATGTGAAATGAAAGTATTGGCTGGTTTAGTGCTGTCAGACTTAAAAGAAGGCCGATCCATGTAGATGTATAAAGATTCCAGGAAGTATGCAACCTAGTTGTATAACATTAAATTATAATACTGAATCAATAAATAAAGCCATACTCCATTTCAGAAAAAGTCCATTTCAGACCTACTTTTAAGAGTTGGAAGACAGCTGAAACAATTTTAAGTTAGCCTTCACATTTTGGCATTATCAACAACTATTTGAACAAGTCTACCAGCGAAAGCTGCTTTTTATGACACTGCTCTAGCCAGGAGATAGATAACACTGTAACCAGATGGGTGCTTCCTGTCTGATTTTTCTCTCGTCTTAAAAAAATTGAAGAGTGTACCAATGGCTGTGTTGGGTGATATAGACTCTGCATTGTTCTCCTGCTACGATTATTTTTGGAAAAAATTATATTTTGTTTGTATAAGATTGTGTGAAGTGTCATAGAAGACCCTGAATAAGCCCATTCAGATGAAAAGTAGATCCAAAATCAAGTGCTCAAGCAGGTACAGAGGCAAAAACAGAGTGGTAAAAACCCATGAACCTTGTAGAGGTCTCATTTCTCTACAGTGAAATCCCTTTATAACCATAGATTTCCAAACTCTATTTAGGGGTCTACTTTTTTTGGTATCTTTGCTAAGACAGAATTTCAGCAGCTTGATATAAGTGCACTAAAGTAAGAGTCAAAAGATTGAGGTTCTAACCAAAGACATGGAAATTACTTCTGAATGATCTCGGACAAATTGTAAACAGGGATAACAACCTAGCTACTTTATAGATCGATTGTGAGCCATGTTAAATAATACATCTTGAAGCTATCTATTTAGCCATCAACCACGTCTATCTACCTTTTCCCGCAAGAGGTGAATTACAAAAAAAAAAAAAATGCATCCAGGATGGAATAAAAAACAATTATTTTTTGGCTCCATGGCATGTGGGATCTTAGTTCCCCAGCCAGGCATCAAACCCGTTCCCCTTGCAATGGAAGCACAGAGTCTTAACTACTGGACCACCAAGGAAGTTCCTGAAATAAAGATTTTAAAGTGTGAGCAAGGAAAACAGAATTAGAGAGATTATGGTGGAAGGAGAGATAAGTAAGAAAGTGGGGTTAGAGCATAAAAAGCATGCTGCAAGGTCATTGTATATTAGCTAGAGGTAGATAAAATAGTTAGCTGTTTCTAGCAGCCTAAAAATGCTTTGAAATCTGACATGGGCTACACAGACGTAAGGCACTGTAATTAAACTAGTGTTTCAGATCTGCTATACTATGATTTGATTGGTGTTTATATTCCTGAAATCTGGTTAGTTCACCAAGTTTTTGTTTTTGTTTGTTCCGGTTTGCAATGCTCTTCAGGAACAGTATGAACTGGTCTACAATGCTGCATTAGAACTATTTAAGAGACAGTTGGATGTTATCAGGGATAAACACTCTGGAACAGAGGTACATTTTAAATTTGAAATTTTGTAAAACAGTTTTTTTCATGTTTGATGTTGGTCAAGGGATTTCAGATTAGTTGCAGGACAACTTATACTTTATCATCACAACTAAACTGGAGTGTCAGGTGTGCATGGGGCTGCACTATAAATCTCCTGTGGAGGACAATTTAATTGAAGTACTTTAACTTAGAAAATTAATCTCTTGGTTAACCTATTGCATACCATTTTCAGCTAAATTTAGAAACAATAGGAGTGGGTTAAAGGGTAAGCATATATTCTGTTTCCATGGTTTAAACAGTTGTGTGGCAATTTAGAAGTGAGAGTGACAATTACAAAATGAAATTATAGTTGAGTACTGATGTGATTTTTCAGGTTACTCTAGCCTCATTTTGATTGCTTATGTATCATCAAATTTTGTGAATATTTTAGAATAGCTAAAGGATTCCTAGCTGAAAATGTTAGGTATGAAAACAATTATGATTTGACCAAATTCTAATTTAAAAATATTGAGCATTCTAGATACGTGATTTTGATCTCATCACAAAAATTGATGTCAAATATTTACTGTATAATCACAAAGTATTAGATTCTGAGCAAATAAGACAAAATTATTGGTTTACCTTCCAGGGTGTATGTAACATATACAAATTAATTTAATTTTTAATATCTCATTTTTGTATTATGAATCTGAAAATATTCACTGAGGACCTACTGTTTCCACAACATTAGGAATACAAAGTATATAAGACATAACCCTAATATCATAACTCCTATCACTTGAATGATGAAGCACAGGGAGTGAAAGAAAGCCAAAAAACTGTTGAGGTTAGGGAATGAACTAAGCAATCCTATAGTTAATGTCAACTCCGGAGAAACAATGTAGGGGAAGGAGATGGAAACAAGAATATAGTTACCAGACATTGTTACTTATATCCTGTTCATGCCTGCTTCATTGGCTAGTATTCCCAGAACAAGTTTAAAGAATAGAGGTGATATGCATGACCTAATTTTAATGGAAGAGATTCTCATGTTTCACTACTAAGTGTGATGCTGATTTGATTGGAGATACATTTTTTAATTGTTTAAGAAAGTATTCATTGACTTCTATTTTATTAAGAATTTTTTTTGGAAAGAATGTTGAGTTCTGTCAACTGCATATCTTTGCATTTATAGAATGATCACATGGATTTTCTCCTTTGACATATTGAAACAGTCATATCCTTGGATTTGTTAATCTCAAGCCATCCTTGCTCTTAGAATAAAACCTTCTTGAACAAAGAATATTCTCTTAATGTGCTGCTGGAGTACATGGGTTAATATTTTATTTAGGTTCCAGGAAATGTCAGTACTCAGATTTAGCCCAGTAGTAGTGCCATGGCTCCAGGCAGTTGAGTTGTTTGGAGTGTGCCCTTAGTCAATAAATGGGAACATAGGAACATCGTTCAACCTCCCACAGAGGGAATTGATTAACACCAGCCAAGGAGGACTTCTGTTTCTGGGAAGATCGAGTAGACATACTTTTCCCTATTCCTTCTACTAAATACAACTAGAAACCCTGGACAATATATATATAAAACAAATATAAGAAGACTCTGAAAGATGGAGAGAAGACAGACCACTAGGGACCTTGAGACCTGAGGAATGACATGATGGTGAGTTCTTTTTCCTCATATATCATGGATATGGAACTGAAGGAACCAACAACTTGGAAATGCCAACAGTGCAGACAAAAAAACCCCAACAAAATCCTGCTCTCTCTAGCCAAAGGACCAGGAAAGGGACAGCCCAGCAAGCCAGAAATTTTTTAGATAATAATTACTCTACTTCAGTCAACACCAAAGAAAAAAATGGCCCCCAACCCCACCTATGCCAGCAAAGTGGAGAGCCTAGATTCCCACCCTCACAAAGACTGTGATAAAGAGAAGGTCAGTGGGTCAGATATATGTATTCTCTGTCACATCAGAAGGGCAGTGCTAATGTGTCATTCTTGTGAGCATTCTAATAAAGAAATACATATATCTGTTAAAAAAAAAAAAAAAAGAGAGAGAGAAGGTCAAGTAAAGAGCTAGGAATTTCATCCCCGCTGGCCTGCAATGAGGTTTCCCTGCAGTGTCAGTAGAGACCATGTGGGGAGCCTGACTTTCCACCTGGCAGTAACCCAGTGCCCCCATGCCACTCCACTGATGGAGTGTCAGAAGAGGCCTAGTGGAGAGTCAGGACTTTCATCATCATCCAGCAGTAATGAGGCCACCCCGACCACAGTGTCATTAGAGACCACATGGAGAGCCTCTCCCAAGGTGTCTCTCTTCAGGTGTCAACAGAGACTGTGAGGAAACTGGTGGAGGTAGAACCCACTTGGCAATAGCAAGGCACTAATGAGGCAGCACCCCCTTCCTCCTCTTTCCCCTGTCAGAATGGATTTAAAAAGGAGAAGCTAAAAGGGAAGGTTTAACTAAGATCCAGGGATTTATAACAATACAAAAATATCTAGGTTTCATGTGAAAATCACTTGTAATACCAAGAACCAGGAGGATTGTAAACCAAATGAGTAAAAGACAGTCAATAGATGACAACACTGAGATGACAGAGGTGTAAGATTATCTGACAAAGATTCTAAAGTAGCCATGATTAAAATGCTTCAGTAAACAATTACAAGCATGCTTAAAACAAAAGAAAGGCTCATCAAAGAAAGATAAAGACCTGCCAAAGAAACAGAAGATATAAATAAAGAAGAAACAAAAAGAAATTTTAGAGTTGAAAAATAACAGTAATGGAAACAAAATAGCTCAGTAGATGGGCTCAACAGCAGAATACAGGGTACAAGGAAAGAATTAATGAACTGAAAGACAGAACAATAGAAATTGCCCAATCTGAACAACAGAAATAAAATAGACTAAAAAATAAAATAAAAATAAAAAGTAGACAGAGCCACAGGAAACTAAGTGACTGTAACAAAAACCCTAGCATTAGTGTCATCGACGTCCAAGAAGGAAAGGAGAAAAAAGACGTGTCTAAAAAAGTACTGAAAGAATCATCATAATTAAACTTCTGAAAACTAAATACAAAAATTCTAGGAAGCAGCCAAAGAAAAATGATCTTAACTCTAGGGGAAAAACAATTAGAATGAAAGTGAATTTGTCATCAGAAACCATGGAGGCCAGAAGGAAGTGGCACAGTATTTTACAAGTGCTGAAGGAAAAAAGCTGTCAACAGAATCCAATACCCAGTAAAAAAAATATCCTTCAGGAATGAAGGGGAAATCAAGACAGTCTCAGATGAAGAAAAACTAAGGGAATTTGTTGCCAGTAGACCTACCCTAAAAAAAAAAAAAAAGGCAGAGGAAGTTTTCTAAATAGAAAGGAAATGATGAAAAAAGGAAGAACATGGTAAGCAACATGGGTAAATATAATAGGTTTTCCTTCTCCTCTTGAGTTTTCTAAATTGCTTAATGATTGAAGCAAAAATTATAACACTGATGTGGTTCTAAATGTATTAGAGGAAATATTTAAGACAATTATACTGTAAAAAAAAAAAGAAGGGTTAGGCATGTAAAGGGAGGTAACACTTCTGTATTGAACTAGTAAAATGATAACACGTATAGGCTTTGATAAGTTATGAATATATAATATAATAACTAGAGCGACCCCTACAAAAACTGTACAAAGATATATCTTAAGAAACACTATAGGTAAATCAAAATGAAATTCCAAAGATGCAGGAAAGAGAAAAAGGCAGGAAAAAGAAAAGAGAAATGAGAAACAGAGAGAAAAAACAGAAAACAAAATATAAAGTTGGAGACTTAAGCCCTACCATATTAATAATTAAATTAAATGTAAATGGTACAAATACACCAATTAACAGATTGGCAGAGTGTATTGAAAACATGACCCAACTATTTGATGTCTATAAGAAACACACTTCAAATATATAGGTTGGTTTAAAATAAAGGATTGGAAAAAAGATATATCCTGTAAACATTAATAAAAGGAAAGCAGAAGTAGCTATATTAATACCAGATAGACTTCAGAGTAAAGAAAATTATCACAGTTAGGAAGGGACATTGTATAATGATAAAAGGGTCAATCCCCCAATAAGATGTAGCAATCCTAAGTGTGTATGGACCAAACAGAGCTGCAAGATATGTGAAGCAAAAACTGATAGAACTAAAAGGAGCAATAGAAAACCCCACAGTTATAGTTGGAGACTTCAAAACTGCTCTCTCAAGAACTGATAGAAAACTCAACAGAAAGTCAGCAAGAATATATGAGAACTTAATAACACCATTGACTAACAGGATCAAATAGATATTTATAGGACGCTCCACCCAACAATACAAGGATATACATTCTTTTCAAGTGCTGATTGAACATATACCAAGATGGATCATATCCTGGGCCATTAAACAATCTCAAAAATATAAAGAACTGATATCATATAGAATGTGTTCTCTGACTACTATGGAATCAAACTAGAAGTCAATAGCAGAAGATAGCAAGAAAAGATCCAAACACTTGGAAACTACACCAGACCCTTCTAAATAATTCATTGAATCAGAAAGGAAGATTCAAAGGAAATTTCTAAAAAACACATTGAACTGAATAAAAATGAGAATACCACATATCGAAATTTGTTGGACAGAGCTCCAGTAGCGCTGGGAGGGAAGTTTATAGCCACCTACATGCATACATTAGAAAACAGTAAATGTCTCAAATCAATAATCTGAGCTCCCACTTTATGAATCTAGGGAAAAAAAAGAGAGTGAAATAAACCCAAGAGAAACAGAAGGAAGGAAAGAGTAAAGAGTATAAATCAATGAAATTGAAAACAGGAAAACAAAAGAGAAAAATCAGTGAACCAAAGATCTGGTTCTTTGAAAAGATCAGCAAAATTGACAAACTTCTAGGAAGAATGATAAAGGAAAAAAGGGAAAAAAATAAAAATGACCAATATCAGGAATGCAAAAGGGGCTATTTCTACAGACTTTGCAGATATCAAAAGGATAATAAAGGATATAGTATGAACAACTCAACACATACACATATGACAACTTAGATAAAATAATGTATTACTTCCTCAAAAAACACAAACTACCACAGCTCACTCAACATGAAATAATTTGAATAGCCTCATAATGATAAAGAAAACTGAATTCATAATTTAAAAATTTCCCAAAAAGAAATATCCAGGCTCACATAGTTTCACTTGAGAATTCTACCAAATCTTTAAGAAAGAATTAACACCAATTTTACACAATCTTTACCAGAAAATAGATGAGGAGGAGACAATTCTCCATTCATATTTTTTACTGTGGTAAAACTACAGTATTTTTACCACTATAGAAAAAATTACCATTTTAACCATTTTAAAATATGAGTGGCATTTAGTACCTTCACAATGTGTATGACCATCATTACTGTTTATTTCTAGAAATTTTTCATCATTCTAAACAGAAACTCTCCATCCCCTGTACCCAAACCCCTAATAGTTTCTATTCTACTTTCTGTCTCTATGAATTTGCCTATTCTAGGTACATGATACAAGTGTAGTCATATATTTACTCTTTCTATCTGAATTATTTCATGTAACATAATATTTCAAGGTTCATCCATTTTGTAACATATATCAGAATTTCATTCCTTTTATGGCTTTATAATATTCCATTGTGTGTAATACCACATTTTACTTACCCATTCATCTGTTGATGGACACTTGGGTTGTTTCCACCTTTTGGCTATTGTGAATAATGCTCTTATAAAAATTGGTGTACAAACACTTGTTCAAGTCCCTATTTTAAATTCTTTTGGGTATATACCCAGAAGTGGAACTGCTGGATCATGCAGTAATTCTATATTTAATTTTTTAAGGTACTGCCACACTGTTTTTCACAGTGGCTGCAAAATTTTACATCCCCACCAGCATTGCACAAAGGTTCCACTTCCTCCACCTTCTTGCTAACGCTGGGTATTTTCTGGGTTTTTTGTTTGTTTGGTTTTGGTTTTTAAGATAATAGCCATCCTAACGAGTGTGAAGTGGTATTTACAGCCTTGATTTTCATTTCCCTAATGATTAGTGATGTTGAACAGCTTTTCATGTGCTTACTGGCCTTTTGTACATCTTTTTTGGACAAATACCTATCCAAGTCCTTTTGCTCTTTTTTTCTCTAGGTTTTCTTTGTGGTAAAATATACATAAAATTTACTACCTTAACCAATTTTAGGTGTATAGTTCAGTGATATTATGTACATTCATATTATTGTGCAACCATCACCACCATCCATTTCCAGAACTCCTTTCATCTTGCAAAACTGAAACTTTATACCCATTAAACACTAACTCCCCATTCCTCCCTAAGCCCAGCCCTTAGCAACCACCATTCTGCTTTCTCTCCCTATGAATTTGACTACTCTAGGTACCTCACCAGTACTTGTTAGTTTTTGCTTTTGTTTATTTATTTTTTAAGTAATAGCCACCCTTATGGGTGTAAAGTAGTATCTCATTGTGGTTCTGGTTTACATTTTCCTGGTTAGTGATGTTAAGTGGACTCTCAACCACTGCGCCACCAGGGAAGCCCTCTTTGCATGAATTTTAAGATGAGGTTTTCTATTTCTGCAGAAGCACCTTTGGAATTTTTATAGGGATTGCATTGAACCTGTAGATCACTTTGGGTAATGTTATCATAACAATATAATGTCTTCCACTTCATGAACATCGAATGTCTCTCTATTTATTTTATTTGTCAGCAATGGTTTGTAGTTTTCAGTAAATAAGTCTTTCACTTCCTTGGTTAAGTTTATTCCTTAGTATGTATATTTTTGATACATATACATATATATATATTAGAGTTGCTTTCCTAATTTCCTTTTCAGAATGTTTATTGCTAATAAACAATAATAAACAGTATAGTAGTGCAACTGGTTTTTGTGTGTTGATTATATATTCTGCAATCTTGCTGAATTGGTTTATTAGCTCTAACATTTTTTTTTTTGTGGGTGTGTGTGGAATCTTTCAACATATAAAATTATGTCATCTGCAAATGAAGATAACTTTACTTCTTCCTTTCCCATTTTGATGCCTTTGTTTGTTTGTTTGTTTTCTTACCTAATTGCTCTGGCTAGAACTTCTGGTATTATGTTGAATAAAAATGGCAAAAATTGGCATCCTTGTCTTATGCCTGATCTTGGGGGAAAGCTTTCAGTCCTTTACCTTTGAGTATGATATTAGCTGTGGGGTTTTCATATATGGCCTTTATCATGTTGAGGAAGTTCCCTTATATTCCCAGTTTATTAAGTATTTTTATCACGAATTTTTCAAATTTTTTTCTGCATCAATCGATATGATCATGTGGGTTTCTTCTCCTTAATTCTATTAATATGATATATTACACTGATTAATTTTTTAATGTTGAACCATCCTTGCACTCTGGAAATAAATCTCACTTGGTCATGGTGTGTAATCCTTTTACTATGCTGAACTCAGTTTGCTAGTATTTTATTGAGGACTTTTGCATCAATATTCGTAAAGAATATTGGTCTGTGGTTTTCTTTTGCCTGTAGCATCTTTGTCTAGCTTTGGCAACAGGGAATTACTGTCCTCATTGAATGACTTAGGCGTGTCATTCAAGTTTTAGGAAGAGTTTGTGCAGGATTGGTGTTTATTCTTCCTTAAATGTTTGGTACAATTCACCAATGAAGCCATCTGGTCCTGGACTTTTCTTTGTTGGGAAAATATTTGATAACTGATTCAGCCTACTTACTAGTTGTAGGTCTATTTAGATTTTCCATTTCTTTCTGAGTCAGTTTTGGTTGACCATATGTTTTTAGGAATTTGTCCATTTAATCCAGGTTATACAATTTGGTGGCATACAATTATTCATATTATTATCTTATACTTTTTGTTTCTGTGAAATTAGTAGAAATGTCCCCACTTTTATTTCTGTAATTTGAGATTTTAGCAATTTCAGTCTTCTCTTTTCCCTTAGTCAGTCTCTAGCTAAAGGTTTGTGAATTTTACAGATCCTTACAAAGGATCAAATTTTGGTTTTGTTGGTTTTCTCCATTGTTTTCTCTATTTCATTTATCTCTGTTCTAATCTTTTAATATTTCCTTTCTTCTGCTAGCTTTGGGTTTAGCTTGTTCTTATTCTAGTTCCTTAAGGTATAAAGTTAGGTAATTAATTTGAAATCTTTCTTCCAGGCATTCACAGCTGTAAATTTACCTCTAAGCACTGCTTTCACTGTATTCCATACATTTTGGTATGATGTATTTTCATTCATTTCTAAGTATTCTCTAATTTCTATTGTGATTTCTCCTTTGACCCATTGGTTGTTTAAGAGTGTTTAATTTACACATACTTGTGAATTTTCCAGGTTTCCTTCTGTTATTGATTTCTAGTTTCAATCCATTATGATTGAAAAAGATACTTTGTATGACTTCCCTCTTTTAAAATTTATTAAAGCTTGTTTTGTGGCCTAACATCTGGTCTCTCCTGGGGAATGTTCCATATATGTTTGAGAAGAATGTATATTTTGTTGGGTAGAGTGTTCTATGAGTGTTTATTAGTTCTTATTTGTTTACATGATTATTCATGTCTGTCCTCTGTCTCCTTGTTGATCTGATTTTTCTATTCATTATTGAATGTGGAGTATTAAAGTCTCTGTATCAGTTTACTAGGCTTGCTGTAACAAGTATCACAAACCAAGGAGGGCTTAAAACAACAAGTTAATTTTTTCACAGTTCTGGAGTCACAAAGTCTAAAATTGAGGTGTCAGCAAGGCCATGCTCTCTCTCATAGCTCTAGGGGAAGAATATTCCTTGCCTATTGCTATTTTTTGGTTTTTCCAGCAATCCTTGTTGTTCTATGGCTTGCAGATACATTACTGCAGTCCAGTCTCTGCCTCCATCATCACACCACATTCTCCCTGCGTGTCTCTGAGTCTCTCTTTTCTCTTTTTGTAAGGACACAAGTCATTGCATTAGGGCCCACCCTAAATCCAATATGACATCATCTTAACTAATTACATCTGCAAAGACCCTGTTTCCAAATAAGGTCACATTCACAGATTTCAGGGAGTAGATTTCAACATATCTTTTTGAGAGTCACAATTAAACCCACTGTAGGTGGAATCTTATAATTGCTGACTTTTTAAAAAAACATATTGAAACATCCCCGTAGGCCGGATATATTGTACAAGTGATGGTAGCTTGGATTCCATGAGCCATAGTAACAAATTTCATAATGTGATAATTCCTATGAAGAAAATAAAGATTGAGAGTGTTTGGGCAAGTGGGTGGGAGTGTGATTTTAGGTTGAGTGGTCAGGGAAGGTTTCCTTATGTAGGTGACATTTAAGTAGAGAATAATTACTTAGAAAGAGCCAGCCATGCAAAATCTGGGGCAAAAGTATTTCATTCAGAGGGAATAGTAAGAGTAAAAGCCTCAAATTGGTAACGAGTTTGGTATGCTTATGGAATGGCAAGAAAACCGGTATAGCTGGAGCACAGGAAGGAAGAAAAATGTAGAACAAGATATGTATGAGGACATAACATAAACGGTTGAGATGATGAAAGTTCTGAAAGTAAAGTGTTCTTGAGAATAAAGTTATATTTTAAATAAACAACATTTTGGAACTTCCACATATGAAAAGATGATGCTATAAGCAAATCCTTCTTAATTTCTATAACACTGTTTAATCCTTTATTTTGATCCTTTTGATTTCAGTATGTGACCAAGTTATTGCTGGGTTCAATATTTTGGAAACACATATGACTCTTTCATGAATTATTTTAAATCTTTATATTTTCTGAAAAATAACTTTTTAGTCTTATGAATGCTAAAATCTCTTGTGGTCATTGCTTCACTAAAAAACAATCTCTTACTTCTCTTGAAGATTCAAGCAAAGTACTCAGTTTCTAAGCAAAATCCCAATCTAGAAGCATATTCTTATTCTCCTAATTTACCAAAAAGGTGAGTATAATTTTACACATCTGAATGTTGTCTAATTGTGTCTGGGAGGAAAATCTCATGCTTATATCTCATTGTGATGCTGAGAAGAGGATACGGGAAGAGACCTCTTTGGGATATGGTATCATCATTACTTTCTTTTTGTTTCAGCATCATAAAAGAAGCAAAAGTGATGAACCAGCAGAGCAAAGGAAGGATAAGGGTGAAAAGTGCAGAAGTTTCTTCCTTTGACCTCAGGATTTCTGAAATAAATAAAAAGGAAGAGTTAGTAATGCACCATTCTAAACAGAGCAGTTCTTTAGAGTTTTTGGAGCTAAATTGTGGTTGTAACAAAAATGCTGACACAACCATGAAATGGGAGAGAAAGGTATTCCCAATAGCTGGGGAGCCTCTTCAGAAGCATCAAAGTTTGGACTTGAGCTCCATTTTGTTTGGAGCACGTCCTAACTCTAAACCTGTAAATGCAGCAGGAAGATGTTTTAATTTAAAAGGGCCAATAATGCGGACGAAATCAACTCCCTTTGAATTGATGCAACAGAGAGACACCAAAGAGTTGGATGTCGAGGAAAAATTTTATTTGGAATCTCACCCACACAATTCTTGTCTTGAGCAGGCTCAAAAAGTGATGCATGTTTCTTCAGCAGAACTGAATTATTCACCATCATATGACTCTAAGCATCAAACGTGCAATGCCTCTAAAGCAAAGCAACACGACTCTGGTGCTTTTAATGTACTTTCTTACATGTCTTTAGTAGAAGATCCTTATTTTTCATCATGGTCTCCAAGTAGTGCTGGTTCTAAGATGTCTCTTGATTTACCTGAGAAGCAAGATGAAACTGTTTTACCTTGTTGCTCTTCACTGCCAAAATCTTCTACAACCCTCTTTCCTTATTACAATTCACATGATTCTTCAGCACTGAATCCTCCCACCAATTTCCCCCCACCGCTGAACCAAGAGACAGCAGTAGTAGGTAAGTTATTTTTAAAAGTTTGTACAGCATTTTAGATTTGACTTTGTTTCTATAAGATTTGGTTTCATCTTACCGCCCCCCCAACCCTCTTATCCTTCTCTGCTTCCTTCTCCTTTTTCTCCTCAAAAAAAAAAAAAATTCCATGAGTGTTTTGATGATGTGATGAGTTGAAAATAGCAATAACTAATACATAACATTCCATGAAACAAGCAATAGTGGAGGCAGTCAGATCTGGTACAGGACCTACGCCAGCCGGTGTGCCTCTAAAGGCAGCAGTCCTCATTCCTAGAAGTGTCTATCGAATGTCCACAATTTTGTTATACAGCAGAAACTAACACAACATTGTAAAGCAGTTATACTGCAGTAAAGATGTTAAAAAAAAAAAAAAGTCCACAATTTATCCTTAGCATGCAGAAGCAACTTCCAAAAGAACATCAGAAAAGATTTGATCAACAGCACCACATGGTCACTCAGAATTTTTGTTGGAGAATCATGTGTCCATACTAAATTGAACAGATTGCTAAGAATTGAATTCTCTTCCTGCAGGAGGTGGAAGAGGAGGACTTGATTTCCTCTTGTCCTTTTATAATAACTTTATAGATGAGGCGACATGTTCAGTATTCTGTATGATATTTTAATCTTATACGACTTTAATTTCATATTTTATCTCTTATAGTTCTGTAGTTTTGCATATTATGCATATTGTTTCATATTACTGAGTGGTTTGAAAGTAGGAGTAAATATTTGGTTAGATAATTATAATAGTTTGATATGAAAGAAGATGTTGTGAAAGAAGAGTTAAAGCAAGTTTAATTCTCTTAAATATGTCATCAGAAATTTATAAAGAACGGTCCACCTAGGTAGGAAGTAGAGAAAGCTTTTTCTCTGACATTATTTACTGTACAGAGTTCCTCAATAGATACATAGATGCATAGTTTTGTTATAAAAATATTCCATCTGGATCTAATTTCTTCTTTGGTTAGAAGGAAGGATTACATACTTCGATCTTGTTTTATGATTTAAAGAAATTTTATTTTTCTAGATACTTATAGTTCCTTAAACTTCCCTGTCAGCATTAGGAACCAAATCCTTATCTTCAAGGATTGTAGCAACATTGACATGTATGCCATCTGGTGGCAGTTTCTCATAATAACATTTAAATTCTATAAAAATTCTGAATACTTCTATAGAAATATAGCAAACCTTGTTATACCATTTTTTTTGTAAACAGGAAAGATATCAATATTCTTAATTCTATAAGAATGAAGAAGAGATACTAAAATCTTTGTGATTTTTACCTGTTCTGTAATTGAATCTTTGGCATGTCAACGTGCTTTATGATGTTGTATATTCTATGTAAAACAAAAGGCAAGAGTTATGGAGAAAACAATCCAAAGCTTCCTAAATTAATATAAAATGTTACATTATGTTAACTGATACTCAGTGACTTAATCAAAATACCTTTGAGCTTTTAAAAGAAACAATAAATCTTGAAGAAAAATCAAAATCCTCCTGGGTTTCCAATTTAGGATTAGAGAATTTATGTTGTTTTCTCCTTGAGTGAACAGATACCAGCTTAAATATATTAATGATGCTTGATATAATTTGTATCAAGATTAGAATACAAGAATTTCCTTTGGATTTTTCTAATTAAACATTTTGATTATATTTCGGGCATTTTGGATAGCAACTTCTCCAAGAATAGATGATGAAATTCCCCCTCCACTTCCTGAACGGACACCTGAATCTTTTATTGTGGTAGAGGAAGCTGGTGAGTACAGTTCAGTAAGTGTAAAATAAAGTGTGGATTAACTATATTACTTCTTAGGTCCTCTCAATATTCTGTGTGCTATTGCTGAGTAACAATTGCTCTCTAAAACTACAGCACTAAAAGTGAAACACATTTACTTTTTGTACAGGAGAATTCCCCCTGGATATTCCCAAATCTTTAACTTCAGCTGTGAAGGTAAAAATTGGAACATCACTAGAATGTAGTAGAACATCTGAATCAAAGAAATTTGATGATTTGGTAAGACTTAGACCAACAAGGTCGATAACTTTTTTCTGATTCTACTCACTTGGATTCAACAGACTATAGTCCTATTCCTTATATATATATATATTTTTTCTTCATAAATTTACTTATTTATTTATTTTTGGCTGCAATGGGTCTTCGTTGCTGCGCGCAGGCTTTTCTCTAGCTGCGGTGAGCGGGGGCTACTCTTTGTGCCGGTGCGCGGGCTTCTCATTGCAGTGGCTTCTCTTGTTGCAGAGCGTGGGGTCTAGGCACATGGGCTTCAGTAGTTGTGGCACTCATGCTCAGCAGTTGTGGCTTACGGCCTCTAGAGTGCAGGCTCAGTAGTTGTGGAGCACGGGCTTAGTTGCTCCGCGGCATGTGGGATCTTCCTAGACCAGGGCTCGAACTCATGTCTCCTGCACTGGCAGGTGGATTCTTTACCACTGTGCCACCAGGGAAGTCCCTTCCTTTTATTTTAAACATGTATCACTTAGTAAATCCTAAGCAGATACTATTTATAAAACAATGTGCTAGAGGATGTGGGGGATAAAAAGATGTATAAGACACAATGGTTGCCGTTAAGAAACTTATAGTTCAGTAATGGGGATATAGCATGTGTACACAAGTCTTTATTTTTGTCTGTATTTATTATAACAAGGCAAATATAATCAGTGCCATATGGAAGATAAGAACTTTGAAACTGTGAGAGATCCCTTCAGGTTGGAAGTGATCAAGGAAGACAGTTAAAGAAGAAACATTTGACTTTATTCTTTAAGGACAGTTAAGGCAAAAATAATTGTTTCATAAGTAGATTGCTTGTTCATAGCAGTCATCTGGTAGGCTGTTTCTTGTGAGCTGTGATAACACAGAGAGTAGTTTTTAAAAAAAAATAACAGATGTCTATATTATTTAAGATAAACCTTTTGGAATAATGTTCCCTGCTTCTAGAAGAAAAACCTATACCTTTAACAATCTGTTATTCATTAGTATATAATTCTATGAACCAACTATCTTAAAATTTCAGAGATCAGAAAAGTAATTAACTAAAACATTTAAACACACTTACAATTGCAGTGCTGGTGGGCAAATATTCTCTGCCTTTTAAATTACACTTCTTTTAAAAATTTATTTTATTTATTTATCTTTAGCTGTGTTGGGTCTTTGTTGCTGCATGCGGGCTTCTTCTAGGTGCGGCGAGCGAAGCCTACTCTTTGTTGTGGTGCATGGGCTTCTCATTGCAGTGGCTTCTCTTGTTGCAGGGCATGGGCTCTAGGCGCCCGGGCTCAGTAGTTGTGGCTCGCAAGCTCTAGAGCACAGGCTCAGTAGTTGTGCCACACGGGCTTAGTTGCTCCGTGTCATGTGGGATCTTCCCGGACAAGGGCTCAAACCCATGTCCTCTGCATTGATAGGTGGATTCGTAACCACTGCGCTACCAGGGAAGCCCTTAAATTACACTTTTAATGAGCTAGTAACTGTTACTATTATTGCTAATGGTCTTTATCTTAACAACTCCCAGAGTAAAGAACAATCACTACTTTTTCAGGGTCATGAAGTAATTTCAGTGGCAACAAACTTACCTGGAATTAAATTTTCAGGGAAATGTTCTGAGTAGGAAGGAAATAACTATAAAAAGGATCAATTTAGGACCAATATTCATGACATATACAAATCACTGTAGGAGTGGATGATTCTTCACAGTTGCTGAACTTTATAAATTAGGAAAAATAGGGTCAACATTTCATAACTATCTCTATTGGTATATGAAATGTAATTTTAAAATGCTATTTATTGCTTTGAGTTTATAGATTTCTATACATCTTCTTTCACTTTGACTTTCTTTCTTTTTCAGAGTGTAAAACCCCAGAGTCCCAAATCAGGTAAAAAATTTTCTTTGGCTTTAGATGACATTTAGCCCTAAGAATTTGTACTGCAAGAATGGCTCATTAAGTTTAGCGTAATTCACCTCAGGAGATGGCATGGTTTCCATAATAGCTTCCACTATTTATTGATTTATTTCTGGTTTTCCTAGGCTAGTAGTTTTGTTTTGTCAAGGGCAAAAGGAAGACAGGATTTTAGAATTCTGCTCCTTGATATATAGCCCTAAAAAACAAAACAAAACAAAAAAAGCCCAAACTATTTTGGATACAATCTCTTAAAACTTTGCAGCAGTTCCATTTTACTGGTTTTATCATTGTTAACAGTGTGATTCTAAAAAGTTATTTCTGGTCACTTAGGTCTTTAACTTGCCACTGCTTCTCTAGTACTTTCTTGCTTGTTTTATACATTGAATAACAACATCAACAGCAAACATCCTTTGAACACTGATAGGTACTTTACATACATTGTAACAGGTAGTAGTTGCCCTTAACACATTTATTCATATTAACATATTGCTTAAATACGTAAATAAGCAGTATAACATAGAGGTTAAAAAGCATGAGCTTTGGTGTCAGGTAGACTTTCATTCAAATCCCCAGCCTACCAATAGTTATCAAAATCTATGACCTTGGTTACATTATATACTTTATCGATTTTTCTCACTTATAAAATGAGGATAATAGAACTCCCCTTCTAAGAGGATTTTTGTGAGGATCTAGTGAGATAAAGCATATAAAGCTTTTAGCACAGTGGTTGTCAAATAATAAGCTCTCATTAAATGTTACCTATTATAATTTTTATTAGGTAATTATTAAATGAACATTTCCTAAGCAAGTTCCGTGTGCCTTATACAGTGTTAGAATAGGCAGGATATTTAAGAAAGGGCGCTGCTTAATGATTATATACGTATTCAAATTGGGTAGACAAAATTAACACTCACTTGGAACCATTAAGTGATAATCTATGTGGCACTGATTATCACCACCAGGAATCTGGAATAAAGAAAGGTATCACTGGAGTGGTTAGGAAAGGCTTGAGGAGGTGAAAGAAATTTAAGAATATGGATAGAGGAAAAAAGAGGGAATTCCAGGAGCAGGGATCAGAGTAACAGTGACTCAAAGGTAAAAATAAGCATGATGGGTACAGAGAAATGGTAAGTAGGTTAATTTAATTGCAACAGAGGTTCAATTATAGGGAAATATGGGAAATAAATTTGGATAGATAAAATGTGGGAGAATTCCAAAGGACTTAAAAGCTAGGCAGATGAAATATCCACAACAGACAAATCTATGTATAGAGAAAGCAGATTTGTGGTTGCCAATCTAATCTGGAGGGAATGGGGAGAGACTGCTAAATGAGTGTGGAGTTTCTTTTCAGGACAATTAAAATTTTGGAACTAGATTGTGGTGATGATTGCACATCACTGTGAATGTACTAAATGTCATTAACGGCAAATTTTGTTACGTGTATTTTATCACATACGAAGCTTGGCAGAAGAATTTAAATTTAATTCAGTAAGTAATAAACATTGTAGGTTCTTCGTCAGGGGAGTATTAAGATGAAAATGGTGTTTGGGGAAGGTATTTGGCAGGATATCGCTACCTGAAAGTTATAGTCTCATAATATTTCCTAAAATCAAAGCGGGAAGGTGATAAGCTACTTCAGAGTAGTTATCAAATATTTATCAAATGCCTACTATATGCCAGTTATTGTATTAGGTGATGGAAATAAGTATTGCACTTAATTTTTGCATATTACCCAGCATATAAGGAATAAACAAGAGAACTTGCTTTATAGGTAAGTCCTAAGACGTGAAAAACCCAATGACCAAAGACACATAAAACTCTAGCACTTAACCACATGCTCATTTTCAAAAGACAGTAATAGGGACTTCTCTGGCAGTCCAGTGGTTACAACTCTGCGCTTCCAATGCAGGGGGTGCGGGTTCGATTCCTGGTCAGGGAACTAAGATCCCACCTGCCACACAGTGTGGCAAAAAAATTAAAAAAAATAAAAGACATTAATAAAGTATATAATTATACTTAGCACTGTATAATGAGAAGCATACAGCAATAGAACACCATTTGTGTCTCTAGGACTTACATTGTTGGAAAATAGCTCCATTATTTAAAATTCTTTATCATGGAAATTTTCAAACACACAGTTTAAATCTACCATAATAAAAGTAACCACACTAATAAAATTAATAATAATTCCTTAATATTATCTAATATCCAGACTTTGTTCAATTTTCTCAAACTGTCTCAAACATGTCTTTTTACAGTTGGTTTATGTGAAGCTGGATTCAAACAAAGTCTGCACATTGCCTTTGGTTTATATGTTTCTTAAGCCTTTTAAAGTTTGTAACAGTTCTTCTTTTTATGTTTTCTCATGCCATTTATTTGTTGAGGGAATGGGCCATTTGTCCTTAAGATTGCTAATATTCTGGATTTGGCTGTTTGTATCCTCACGGTTTTATTTAACATGTTCCTCTATCTCCAGGATTCTCTGCAAAATTGCAGTAAGATTAGAAGCTTGACTAAATTCAGGTTCAATTTCTTTTGAAGAATACTTTTGTAAGTGAGCTACAAGTTTGTGATGAAGCATAGGCTCATTGGTGAAAGAGCTAGGATAACAAAGTTCTTGAAGCTCCAGTCAATGTTCAGATAATTTTTTATTTGGCTGCTGTAGGTTAATATTGAAAAATTGGAAAAGTTATACAAAACCAAAAAGGGATTTTTTAAAATAATTTTTATTGGAGTATAGTTGATTTACAATGTTGTGTTAGTTTCAGGTATACAGCAAAGTGATTCAGTTATACATATACATATATCCACTCTTTTTTAGATTCTTTTCCCATATAGGCCATTATAGAGTGTTGAGTAGAGTTCCCTGTGCTATACAGTAGGTCCTTATTAGTTATCTATTCTATATATAGTAATGTGTATATGTCAATCCCAGTCTCCCAATTTATTCCTCTCCCCACTTCCCCTTTGGTGACCATAAATTTGTTTTCTACATCTGTGATTCTGTGTTTTGTGAATAAGTTGATTTGTACCATTTTTTAGATTCCATGTATAAGCAATATCATATGATATTTGCCTCAAAAAGGAATCTTGACTTAGGACTTTTAATTGATGAATTTTTTTTTTTTTTGCTTTGTTGTATACTCTTTTCATAGATAGACTCCAAGATCTTTCTTCTTCCCTGCCACCTCCACTGCCAGAAAGAACCTTAGAGTCCTTCCTTGTTGCTGATGAAGATTGTAAGTGTCAGTGCTCTCTCTCAAAAAAGTTATAAAAATGAGACCATTAAAGGTTAACAATAAAATAGGATCTAAATGGAAAAGGTACAAAGAATGATTAAATAAGATAAAAATAATACATTTTAAAATCCCATAATGCATTGCAAAATGCATAGAAATAATGCATAAAAAAGTCTGGCTAAGAATTACTGAATATATACCTGTATACAATCTGAAGGCTTAAGAAGCTATGCAACAAAACACGTTTTTTTTTAGGTATACAGGCTCAACCTATAGAGACTTATTCTACTAGCTGTCCTAACACCATGGAAAATTCAACATCTTCAAAACAGACATTGAAGACTCCTGGAAAATGTTTCACAAGGAGTAAGGTAAAGAAGACAGGAGTTTATGGAAATATGCCAGAGGCTTTCCATTACTGAAAGTGTCCCTACCCCTGCCACTCCAACCCCAGGCCACCAGCATTAAGATGAAAAATTAGACTAAATATTTTCACTGATATTCACTGTTGGTCTCACAACGATCAAAATTAATGGAGGGAAACCAAAAATTTTTAAAAACCCAACAACTTAAAGCACGCCCAATAAAACTAACAACTTTTTTCCCTGAAACTAGACAAATTGATTCCAAAGTTCATGTGGGGGGAAAAAAGAGCAAGAATAGTGAGTAAACCAAAAAAAAAAAAAAAAAAAAGTAAAAGCAATGAAAGAAGGGTAGCTTTATCAGATATTAAAACATCGTAAAGCCTCAATAATTAAAATGGTATGATATTCGTGTATGAAAAGAAACACACACTAACAGAGCAGAAGAAAAACTTCAGAAATAGACCCAAAAATGTATAGGAATTTAGTATATGATGAAGGGAAGCTTTCAAGTCAGGGAATAAAGATGGATGTTTTAATCACTGTTGTTGGTTCAACTGGATAACAACCTAGAGGGATAAAAAGGTAGGATCCATACCTCACAGCTATACCAGGATATATTCTAGTTGGATAAAAGATTTAAATGCTAAAAAACAAAAAAACAACCCATCAAAGTACTAAAAAAACCTGGAAAGATTACTTTACAACCTGGGAGTGGGAATGATCTTTACAACTATGATTCAAAATCCAGAAGCCATAAGAAGGGAGATTTATAAATTTAACTAAATAAAACAGAAAATTTCTGCATGGTAAAACAACAACAAAAAAATCACCTTAAAAATCAAAAGACAAAGAACAAATTGGAGAAAAAAATATCTGCAACTGGCATCATAGTCAAAGGACTATATTTCTTTAATATTATATATTTCTTCAGCAATTCATAGAAAATAATAACCCTAAAAGAAAAGTGAGCAAAAATACATGATCTGATAATTCAAAGATAAGTAAATGTGCTTGATCTGACCTTTAAACATTTGATATGTTCAACCTCACTCATAATAAAAGAAATACGAATTAAAACCACAGTCACATACTGTGTTTCATGTTTCAGAGGGCAAATTCCAAAGTCTGACTACATTCTCTGTTAGGCAGGCTATGGGAAAATAAGCACACTCTTGCACTCTTGGTGGGAATGTAAGTGGTATAACTTCTATGGAGGACAATTTAGCAATACCTATCAAAATTACCAATGCATATATCCTTTGACCCAACAATTCCACATTTAGGACTTTATCCCACAAATATGCTTGCTCATACATGAAATGAAATGTGTACCAGGTTATTCATTATACCATTATTTATAAGGGTAGACAATTGGGAACATAAATGTTAATCATTAGGGGAACTGATTAAATAAATCATAAATCATGGTATATGCATAAAATGGAATTCTCTGCAGCTAAAAAAAGAATGAGGACTCTCTCAATATACTTTTATATATTTTATTAACTTTTGCTTAAAAGGGTGAAAATATGATCTATATTTATATTATATATTCATAAGTAACTTTGGAAGGATACATAAAAACTAACAACAATGGTTACCTGCAGGGGGAGGGTCAGAAACTAGGTAGATGGAGAACAAAGATGGGAGCATTTTTACTAGGATATTTTGAATTATAAATAATCTATATTTAAAAACTAAATAAAATTTTTCGAAAAAAATTTATTAAATATCTATTATATAGAAGATTACATTTCTAAGTATTAGGAAAATAGAAATGTCATAAAGGACATCTAAATGTCCTTGAGAAGAGTACAGTTGATCTACTAGAATGCCTATATAAGAAACAACGTGAAAATTATCAAAAAGTAAAATACTGTGGAACAAACTGAAAACATACACCCTGAGGAAATGTGAAGAAAAGAAGAAATCTGGGTAGATTCCTAGAAGAGGTTAAGTTAGAGAATTCACCATAAAGGAGGCAGAAGACATGGGCTTGCTGAAAGAGGGAGAAGAAAGTAGCATGGTTAACAGTATGAAGTGAACCTCAGTAAACTGAGTACAGAAAATGACTGGCAAAATTTTTTGGCCTGAATGGGAATGGCAATGTGTCTCAGCTATCTTCAGAAGCCATTGTGGGTCCTGGAATGGTCGCCTAGTAAAGAAGACAAGTAGGAACTCCATCTTTCCCCCTGACACAACAATAGCACTATTTCTAAATAAATAGTGTGATTCTTATATGGGTGGAAAATGTAGCAAGATAAGATCAAGTGGAGACTTTGCACTGAATTAACAAATGGCAAGATAGAAAAATAATTTTGTACATTTGATATCCATTTTTAAAGAAATTAATCCTTTTGACTGAAATCTATATTTCTAGTTGATTAAAGTATTTTGGATTTCACAGGGAAAAAACTCACTTTTTCCTTTTCTTCATTCTGTAGAGTTTGAAAATTTTGCGAAACATGAAAAAGAGTAAGTTTCTTTTACTTATTTTTAGAATACACATACCACTTTCAATATTATGTAATTTTTCCTTATATAACCACTCAGAAAAAATGAACAATATTATTCCTAAACAGAACCTTGTTACTGTCCTATGTATCAGAACAATCACCCCTAGGCCTTGTACTCTGCTAGGTTCCACAATGCTAATACTAGGTAGGGAGTAAGGGGAAAGAAAGTTTCTGTTTGATACACAGGAATAATAGTATGATGTTTGGCACTTTCTACCCATGCTAAGATGCTGTCATACAAGTGTGTTATTTAAAATTCCCAGCAGTCTAACCTCAGATGTACTTTCTTTGAAAGTAGTCATAGCAAAGCATATTGTGAAACAAATGTGTTGATTTAATGAAATAAGCAAAGTATTGACACATTTCCATTTTTACCAAGTATTATTAGCAATTAAAGTCTGTTGCTTACTGTTTTTCCTATATTGTAATGAAAACAAAACCCAGACTCCTGAAACTGTGGGAAACTGATTATCTTAGAAATCCTATTTACAGCTACAAAGTATATAAAACGTGGTGGTATATTTTTTACAAATTTGATCCATTGGGTTAACCCAATGTACAGCTATTTGGTACTATACTGGTATTGTAGGGAGGAACAAAGAGCACTGAGAAAACTTGATTTAAGGTATAATCTAAGTAAGAAGGTTTATAGCTGAATCTTGCTCTTTTCACTCTATCTCCCTGTCCATAAACTTGTGCTAGCCTGCTTTCATTGCCACCACACCTTATCTCTGAAGTGAACTGATTTCTTACCTATGATGGGCTAAAGCATGACTGGAAAATATACTCTTTCCTCTAAAGTCAGTCAAAAGAAAATTTAAACACTGTGAGAAGAAATTATAGTATATAACATAAGAAATAAAACAGCTAAAAGCAAAGAAATGAGTGACTTGAATAGCTAGCCAAAGATTGATTTGATCAGCTTTGATCATAAGCATGAAACACCCAGTTTTCTTTTTTTTTTCAAATTATTTATTTATTTTTGGCGGTGTTGGGTCTTCGTTGCTGCATATGGGCTTTCTCTAGTTGCGGCGAGCGGGGGCTACTCTTGGTTGCGGTGCGCAGGCTTCTCATTGTGGTGGCTTCTCTTGTTGCGGAGAACAGGCTCTAGGTGCGTGGGCTTCAGTAGTTGTGGCGCACGGGCTTAGTTGCTCCTCAGCATGTGGGATCTTCCCGCACCAGGGATGGAACCCGTGTCCCCTGCAATGGCAGGCAGATTCTTAACCACTGCTCCACCAGGGAAGTCCCTACAGTTTTCTTTCTCTGAAAAAAAAGCGGAAAACAAACCCAAAAAACTTTCTTTCTCTAGCTCCAACCCTGTCTTGGGGATATCAAACAAAGATACAGAAACTTCAGGTAGATTTAGGTTGGCATAGATGTGAGATATGGTATGACTGTCTGAGACTCTGAGTCTTATTTCTAATTTCTATTTCTCAGTTGCCTTCACCCTCTGGTCTTCTGTCCTTAAATTAAGAACAAAATCTGGCCCCCAAAATTGATCCTGAAGCTTTAGACTGCCTTTACTTGCATGTGCTCTCTTCCCCTTCTAGATGGTCCATGCCTCCTGAGTTCTATATGTTCTCCCTTTAGCCTGGATGCCTTACTGGTCCTACTTTTAACGAAATTAGGATTCTTCACCTGTTGTTTTAAGTTAGCATCTAAGCCTGGTGTCAAGCTCTTTCTTTCATTCATTCATTCAATGAATATTTGTTGAGTGCCTCCTATGTGCCAGGCATTCTGCAAGGCACTGGGTATGTGATGGTGAACAGAACAGTGTGAATTTGGTGTGTTGTAGGCACTCAAAGGAAGCCATCATAGCTGCAGGGTATTAAGAGGAGAAAGGAGTAAGGTGTGTCCAAAAGATGGTAGAGATGAGAGGTAGTTAGATCATTATGGGTCATGTTAATGACCCAATGGGAAGTCACAGAAGAGTTTTAGACAGAGATGTTACATGATCTGTCTTTTGAAAAGATCATTCTGGCTGCTGGTGACAAGAGTTGAAGCTGTCAGCTATGACATCTGATGCCTACTTTTGGTGGGAAACTTTAGCTGCTAGGAAATCCTTCATTTGCAAGTGACAGAAAACCCAACTTAAGCTAGCTTAAGCAGAAAAGGGGAATTTATCGGCTTATGACCAAGAGTTCAAATGATGTGATTAAAGATGTAAAATCTCATTCCATATCCCCTACCTTTGTTTCACTCTGTTAGCTCACTCATAGGCAGGCTTTTACCATGTGATTTCAGGCTTATGATGAAAAAAATGAGCTCTTTCCTGGTTGCTCAAGCAACAGCCTGATTGATGACTAGTGTTGATTGGGCCTGATTGTCTTGGCTAAACCTAAACCAATTATTGCCAGTATATTTAATGCTTGGATTAAGAGGATAGTGTCATACCTAACATTCAACAATTGTTACATGTGGATGCTGACCAATAAGGAATGAGGTCAGACCTAAACAACTGGTGTGACCATGGCAAAGTACCAACTGACAGCCCTAGTCATAGGTCAGCTCCTTCATCTAAGGGTTGAATGAGCTCCACGAGAAGCATGGCAGCTGAACATTGGAGAGGGGTGGTTTCTTAAAGGAAAATTCAAGTTCTATTATCAGAAGGAATTAATGCTGAGCAGACAGCATAAAAGTATCTGTGACAAGCTAGATGCAGAATAGTAGTTCACTATACATATATGCAAAATCTTTGTTTCCAGTTATAAAAAGCCAGTATTCCCTTTTGGGACAATTGTTTTCTTTCTGAAGGATGTATATACCTCTCAGCTCATGTGCAGTATAGAGATGATTGCTATCTCCTGAACTTTCTCACCTTCACCCACTTGTTTTCCATGTCTCTATCATCAGTGGCTAGCCCAATGCTTGCCACATAGTAGATATTCAATAAATATATATTTTAACTGAATCTGATTGAAATTCATGATTTACTCTAGTGATTCATACTCAAGTAGCTCCAGGAAGGGGGAGGTCTTTCTAGAATCTTAGTATTAGGTATGTGTGTACAAACATATATGCAGTCCTCACACTACATTCTGAGAATGATGAGAACAAAAAAAAGGTGAATATTTAGTAATTTCTCCCCAATTATGTACTGTTTCTTAGAAAGTTTATACAAGCTGAAATTATCCTTTTTGCTGCTAGACAGTGCTTGTGCAAAATATGGACCATGTTTTCACTGGATTGTTTTCAGAATTGGGCGGATACCGATACGTGAATATATTAAGGTGCTGGGAAGATAAATATATTTTTAAGTCTGCCTACAGGTAGCTAAAATAGCAAACAAAGCAACATAACAGTGCTTTTGGGGCCAACTAGAATCATCCATAATGGGAAAAAAGTAGGCTGGAAAGTTAAGAAAGGTATTCCAGGCGTAGAGGATGGTGGAAGAAAAATCACAGACTTGCCACGGTTGAGCTAATGTGGAGAACAAATTATTTAAAAGTGTACTTAAGAGCGATCAGAGTGCAAAGTAAGATGCAGTTGAAAGCCAAAATGTAAATCCCAGAAAAAGTTGATTCACAATAAAATGGATTGTATTCCTGAATCCTTTGGTGATTCTCTCTAGTGTTGGGATTATTATACAAACAATCTGTTTGCAAAGAAAAGAAAACTTAAAAAAAAAATACGCACACAAAAATGAGAAAATTATAGTGTCAACCCATTTGTAAACATCTATATTTTGTTACATTTGATAGTGATATGTTTATCTGGAAGTATTAATTAATTTGGAGGAAATGTGTAATCTCAATAATTATGTGGTCTGAGTCTGTATCCATTATTTCCCTTACATTTTTTTCTTTTGATTCTAGGTATCTGTAATTCTTCCCCATCAAAGAATCCTGCAGACTCTGTTCAGTCAAATAACTCCAGCTCCTTTTTGAATTTTGGTATGTGTGTTACTTCCCAGCAGAATTAAAAAAATATTTATCTTAATTATTCATTTATAGTATAAGAGATACAACTTTAATATGATTTAAGTTTGCATGTATAAGTCCTTATGTTTATATTCTTTTTCATGCCATTTATCTTTTTAGTTTTGACCTCAGCTAACTCTTACATCTTACATAGGCCTGAATTGCCTAGTATATATGGAAAATAAAACTAGATACCAAATGATCATGTTGGCATGTAGTAAATGAATGTGAAAGCCAAATGAAGAAATTCTGAAATGCCATAATACTCTAGTTCATATCTAAGCAAAGTTATAAAAAATATACAAGTGTGATGAAAAGAACAGAAGATGCTGCTATCTAATCTTGTGTAACTCATGCAACATTAGGCACTGAAGCACAATTCTGACAGTTTAAAGGAACTGTTTGCCCAATTGCTCTTTCGTATAAGCTATAAATTTAAAATAATTTTATATTAAGCATTCTATTATTCTATATAACATAAATTCATGATACTATTTAAGGTAGTATTATGTATACTATAATTTTTGTAAGGAGTATAGCAAATAATGTAGGATATTACTACTAAAAATTATTATTAACCAAAAAGCAGACCCCCTGAAAAGGTCTGGGGGACCTCCAGTGGTCCCAGGGACCACATCCTGAGAACTGTTGTTCTATGGTATTGTCCTTATCTGAATGATCAGAATTGTTGCTGCCACGTTCAGATTGCAGGTGGCAAGAAGACGAGAGAAAAATGTGGAAGAGGTGTGGCCTCCTTTTCTGGTCTTAAGGCACTGGCCTGGAAGAGGCAACATTATGCCGGCTCACTTTCCCTTGAAAAGAACTTATACATGAGCTATATCCAAACTGTAAAAGACACTGGGAAATGCAATAATGCTGGGCAGACAGTTTCCCATATACTATTCTATTCCTGAAGAAGAAGCAAGGAAAAATTTTATTGGACAGGTAGCAATCTCTGCCACAGTTGGGGTTATGGTTCCTATCTCACCATGGCAAAGTATTCAACTAGACTCTCTGAATCTGTTTCTTGGGCTTTACAATTTTTACTTGGATTACATTAACTCTAAGGTTTAAAATGTTATAAATGTCATTTAGTTAAAAAGTTCATGTAGAATATTATATAACCTATGAAAAAAGCACCAAACTTTACCTAGAACACGAATGTTCCTGGCTTCCTTCTTTTCTCTCAGTCAGAGACGCCACTTGAATAACTCATGGCCCATCTAACTTTACAACAGTCTGTGATAATAATACGAGGATAAAATATTGTACAGCTGCCTCCATGTTGTTTCTTCTCAAAGTTGAACATTTTATCTACTTAAAAAGACGCACTTATTTTTTTCATTGGTTCTCTTTTATAAAAGAGGCACTATAAGGGTATTTTACTCAAAAAGTACTTAAATGTGAATGAAAAAATTTTGTGGTTTATAAACATTTTTATTTTTCCTGAATTGTCCTACATGCAAAAAAGGTAGCTCACTACTGTTCTAAACTATTGAGTATTGATCAGTGAAAAACACTGAATGTAGCTATTCCTCAAATTTCAGATACCTAGTACTTATGTGTTATGTTCTTCTATTCTCAGTCCACTTTGGTTACAATCAAGCTATCTGGACTGAATGGATAATTTTGTGACTATTGTGTGAAACTATTGAACCTGGAATATATTTCCTTCTATCTTCTTATTTACCACTCAGAGGAGTGAAATGTGCAGGAACTAGGCTGTGTGCCCCCTCCCCCTAATTTTTTTTTTTTTACCACCACTATTAATAAATTTTAGAGGATTTCTTGTTTTTATCTTCTTTTCATTCCCTCTTCCCAAATCTCCTTGTCTTCCAGTTCTGGCATAGTTTTTGGTGTTTCAGATTTAGGCAGTACTTGAGTAGTTACTATGTGCCAGGCATTGAGCTGGGTGCTTTAACAAATATCTGATCATTTTCATCAGTTCTATAAGGTATATAATTCACACACTTTTATAAGATGATGAAATTAATCATCTTTGAGTTTTCCATTCTCTGTTTGCCCTTTGTATTTCGATTCTTTCATTGCTCAATTTGAGCCATTAAAGTTGCTAAGTGTAAGAGTACCTTGAAAATATAGCGCTAACAAAGAAAAGTCATATGTTGCTAAAGTGATTAAGAACCTATGTCATCAACCTGCATATATTCCAAAGGCATCCAGAAATAGCCTTCATTGGTTATGCAAAATTTCCTCATCCTCCTTCTTTGTGTGTGTGTGGGGGGGGCCTGGAGGGGAGTGTTTGAGGAGAGAGAGAAATAAAAATAATTAACCACTTAGTTTTATTATTAGTTTTTCAGGATTGTTTAATAATTTATTTTTTCTAATCTTTTCAAACGTAATCTCTGAGTAAATTGAGGGCTTTCTGGGTCAAAGTAGAAGTACAACTGAATTTAATACAATAATTTTCTAAAGCAATAGCGCTTATTTTTCTGAAATTTAAATTCCCCTTTTTTGTTTTTCTGACAAATGGGTGGTGGGTGAAAAGACATAGATAAAGGATATTATTAAACAACCCACCCCAACAATCAGCTTAAAAAGTGGGCAAAGGAGTTGAATAGATATTTTTCCAGAGAAGGTATATAAATGGTCAACAGGCACATGAAAGGATGCTTGACATCAGTAATCATAAGGGAAATGCAAACCAAACCCACGAGATATCACATCATACCTATTAGAATTGCCATTATAAAAAAGACAAGAGACAAGTGTTGGTGATTCTATGGAGAAAGGGGAGCCTTGTGTACTGTGGTGGAAATGTAAATTGGTACAATCGCTATGGAAAACGGTCTGGAAGTTCCTCAAAAAATTAAAGATAGAACTACTATATGATCCAGCAATCCCACTTCCAAATATATATCTGAAGGAAATGAAATTATCTCAGAAGAGATATTTGCACCCCATGTTCATTCCAGCATTATTTACAATAGCCAATTCATGGAAACAACCTATGGGTCCACTGACAGATGAATGGATAGAAAAGATGTGAGAGATGTATGTATACGGTTGACCCTTGAACAACACATGGGGTTAGCGGTGCAACCCCCTGCACAGTGAAAAATCCTCGTGGAGTCGTACCAGTCCTAAGGGGGATTGGTCCCAGGACCCCCGTGGATACTAAAATCGAAGGATGCTCAAGTCCTTTACATAAAATGTCTTAGTATTTGCATATAACCTACCTACATCTTCCTGTTTACTCTAAATCATCTCTAGATTACTTATAATACCCAGTATAATGTAAATGCTATATAAATAGTTGCTGATGTGTGGCAAATTCAAGTTTTGCTTTTTGGAACTTTTTGGAAATTTTTTTCGAATATTTTTGACCCACTGTTGGTTGAATCCGCAGATGTGGAATCTGTGGATGCAGAATCTGAGGATAGGGAGGGCTGACTCTATATATACATACATTACTATCTGAATTATTATGGATATGATTGTGTGTATATATATATATATATATATATATATGAATATTATTCATTCACAAAAAAGAAGGAAATCCTGCCTTTTGTGACAACATGGATGTACCTTGGGGGAACTACCCTAAGTGAAATAAATCAGACAGAGAAAGACAAATACTATATGTTCTCACTTACATGTGGAATCTAAAGAAGTTTAGCTCATAGAAATACAGAGTAGAATGGTGGTTGCCAGGGGCTGGGAGGTGGGGGAAATGGGGAAATGTTGGTCAAAGGGTACAAACTTCCAGTTATGAGATGAATAAATTCTGGAGATCTAATGTACAGAATGGCAACTGTAATTAACAGTACTGTATTATACACTTGAAAGCTGTTAAAAGTAAAATCTTATATTGAAAAGAAAAATCTTAAAAAATCACCACACACACTAGTAGACAATTATGTGAGGGGATGTAGGTGTTAACTAACCTTAATGTGGTAATCATTTCACAATATATACATGTATCAAATCATCATGCTGTATACCTTAAACTTACATGTCACATGTAAACAAACATATGTCAATAATATTTCGAAAAACCTGGGAAAAAAGAATACTATATGCTGAATTACCAAAGCCTATTACAATCAGCTAATTATTACCATTATTAAATTTGTAAGTGTTCTACAAATTTAAAATGTTATTAGTATTCTATTGTTATCATTTAAGCACTAACATAATTACTAGAATGCTTTTACAAAAGAATTACTAAATTGATCAAAGATGCTGTCTAACCTTTTAGAAAAAAATCCATGTATTTGCACATATTATAATACACTCAAAAATCCAAGTGTTCATTTCTGTGTAAGAAAAGTTTCTTTTTTCATTCAATTTTATTTTTGTTCCCAGGTTTTGCAAATCGCTTTTCAAAACCCAAAGGACCAAGGAACCCACCATCAACCTGGAATATTTAACACAACTTTGGAAAATCAGCTGCAAGTGAATCTGCAAATGAAACTACTAGAATACTGCTAGCTAGAATAAGTGCTGTATATTCATAATATCTCCATGAAGATACAGTAATGTGTTAATAGCATTTAAAAGCAATATGCAAATAAATGTCAGAAGTTTTACATTTTCATCTCATTTACACTGGGTTTGAAAGCACAAATAGGAGTTTGTCATTTAAGCTATGTATAGAGAATGCTGTATGAGAAAGTTTTGCAATGGACTTACTTTTCATTTTTGGAAGTTATTTTTATTCTACTTTACTTTCCTACATAAATATAAACTTTAAAAGATTTGTAAAAATTGGATCTCAATTAAATGTCTATATTGTCAGAAGTTACCATAAAAAATGTTTTGAAAAATCTTACCTTGTGGTTACAGTACAAAATTATTGCTTGTGACAATGACTATTCCCTGGGAATTATTTTTGCCTAAATGGAGATACATCTTTCCAAGTGTGGGAAACAAGAGTAGTAAGAAAAAGAAGTTATACTTAAAGAGAATACAATATATATGTAATGACAGGGCTTCCCTGGTGGAGCAGTGGTTAAGAGTCCACCTGCCGATGCTAGGGGACAGGGATTCGTGCCCCGGTCCGGGAAGATCCCACATGCCGCGGAGCGGCTGGGCCCGTGAGCCATGGCCGCTGGCGTCCAGAGCCTGTGCTCCTCAACGGGAGAGGCCACAACAGTGAGAGGCCTGCGTACTGCAAGAAAAAAAAAAAATAAAAAATATTAATAATAAATATATGTAATGACAGTAATCAGTTTTTCGTTTGGATATATCAAATAACAAGATGTTCAAGCACATTCCTGACAAGCTTTTTAGCCAATGTTTTTCAGTTACCAAATCTAGAAGAATAATCAACAAAGTAGCTATCTTTTGGTGGCATTTTTTTTTTCATTTCAAAGGTCCTGTATAAACATGTACAATTTATATCCAACTAACTAGAGGCACTACTAGTTAAAATTTTTTTTCTATATGAATATGGATCTGCCTTATCTTAAAGTTGATCTTTCAAATCTAATTTTATGTAACAAGTTAGTGGGTAATTATTACAAAGGATTCCTCTGACTTATCCTAATGACTTCACTTAAGAGTTCATAACTTTCTAAAAAATGAAATACTTAAGCAGCATTTGTTCTTCAATATTTTTCATTAGGAATCCCAATGAAGGCACACACTGGATGAAATATTACCTGTTTATTGTAGTGTAATGTACACAAGAGGTGCTCAATAAACTTTTTGGTTTTTAAACTAACTTTATAGTGTTCATCGAGTTGAGTACTTTTCCAGGTACTAGTGTCATCAAACCACAGAGATTTTATCTGAGTACTTTATTGTAATCAATTATTTCCAAATATCTTTGGATATAGGCAGTAAAATGTAAAGTGACGATCAAATTGTAAATAAATTTCTGGGCGGAAACCTTGGTGAGTAGTGACGATTTCTGGAGTGTTGTCTGGTAGACACACTTCTCAAATTTATGCAATCGTATACTTTCGATTTGAAAAAAATCTTATTAAGAAATTTCAAAACATGTTTTTCCATCTAGAATTTTCCCGTAATTGTAGGGAAGGATTCAAAATAATGGATGAACTCTATACACTTCCAGGCACTAGAGGGGATGTGGCTCGACGGCGAGGTGGGCGGCGCTCACCAGGCTCCCAGGCAGTTCTTGCACCTGCCTTGTCGCGCCTATACTTGTAACCATAGCAATCAGTGGCCAGGAAGAGGTTCTGAAATGTCTGATTTGCAGCTCCGTTCGATTTTAAAGCAAAATCGCCCTCATTTGACATATTACCAAGTTCCTTTTTCCTCTGCATCTCATCGTTTGTCCAGGGGTAAAAGGCCGGGGATTCTTGTACCTCACAAAGGTTATGAGAGGAATAGGAAATTGAAAAGTAACTATGGAGACCAACTCCTCCGTGTAAAATAACGAAGGGGCACACGGAGACGATAATGGGAACGCGCCTACAGACTGAAAGCCATTAACATTGTTTCGGCTGTTAAGGCGGTTGGCGGAAACTCTCCGCCCAGCAGCGGTTGCGTCGCAGCCCGAAGCGTGACTCGGCGCACGCTCCCTTTCGGCTCCTCTGCTCACGGAGCCAGCGACACGGCGGGGGCGCGGAGAACTACCGCTCCCGTGAGGCTCTGCGCGGCCCAGAGTGCTTTACAATAGAGCTCGGTTGGAGGGCCCTGCGGAGAAGCTCCGGTAAGTACTGCTTCCGGCCATGTTCGGCTCTGGACGAAGAATGGCCGAGAAGTGGAGAGTGGGGGAGAGACTCCAATGCCCAGCGGGCCGTGCGCGGGCGGCGCTTGCGCGGTACGCGGACGGGGGGGCGGTCGGGCCATTTAAATGTGTGTTTGTGGGTGAAATGGCTGCGCAGGTCGGAGCGGTCCGCATAGTACGGGCGGTGGCGGGGCAGGAGGAGCCGGACAAAGAGGGGAAGGAGAAACCCCACGCTGGGGTCTCGCCGCGGGGAGTGAAGCGGCAGCGCCGAGCGAGCAGTGGGGGGTCTCAGGAGAAGCGGGGGCGGCCGAACCAGGACCCCCCTCTCGCTCCCCCTCACCGGCGGGGGCGCAGCCGCCAACACACCGGGCCGCCGTCG